AGTGCAGTGCAGTGGCACAATCACAGCTCACTGAAGCCTCTACTTCCTGGCCTCAAGCAATCCTCCCACCTCAGTCTCCTGAGTAGCTGGGACTACAGGCGTGTACCACCTCAACATTACTAATCATCAGGGAAATGCAAATCAAACTACAATGAGATATCATATGATTTCAGTCAGAATGGCTATTATCAAAAGACCAAAAAAAAAAAAAAAAAAAACAGACGCTAATGAAGATGCAGAGAAAGGGGAACTTTCATACACTGTTTGTGGGAGTGTACATTGTATAGTATAGCCATTATGGAAAACACTGTGGAGTTTCTCACAAAACTAAAAATAGAACTATCAATCCAGCAATCCCACTCCTGGGTATTTATCCAAAGGAAAGGAAATTAGTATATCAAAGAGATGCATGGACCCCCATGTTTATTGCAGTATTATTCACAATAGCAAAGATACCAAATCAATGTATGTGTCCATCAGTGGATGAATGAATAAAGAAAATGTGGTATATTTAAGTAATGAAATATTATTCTGCCATTAAAAAAGAAGAAAATCATATCATTTGCAGGAACATGGATAGAACTGGAGATTATTATGATACGTGAAATAAGCCAGATGTAGAAAGACAAATATCACATATACTCATATGTGGGAACTAATAAAGTTGATCTAATGAAGGCAGACAGTAGAATGATAGTTATTAGAGGCTGGGATGGATGTGGGTGTAGGGGTGAAGAGAGGTTGGTTAATGGATACAAACATACAGTTACATTAAAGCAATACATTATAATGTTAGTTGAGTACAGTGACTATAGTTAACAATTTATCATACATTTCAAAATACTTAGAAGTGAGATTTGAAATGTTCTCAACAGAGAGAAATTATAAATGCTTGCAGTGATGGATATCCTAAATACCCTGACTTGAGCATTACACATTCTATGCATGTAACAAAATATCACCTGTACCCCATAAATATGTACAAATATTATGAATCAATAAAACAGATAAATACATAAATATTTTGAAGATAAATCTGATAGGAGTTTGATGGATTTTATGTGAGGGTTAAAAAAACAGAGATGCCCAAGTTTCTGATTTGGACAAGTGGACAAAAGGGATATTGGAAGAGGATCAGATTTGGGTGCAGAGATTACAAGTTTGGCTTTGAACATGTTTTGTTTGAGATGCCTTTAAGGCACCTAAACATAGAAGGAAAAACAATCATGACATTCAGTCACGGATTCAAATCAAATCTGGAGATGTGAATTTGAGACACATCCACAAATAAAATGAGATACCACTAAACTGACCAAAAATTTAGAAAAGTTGTAACACTTGTTGCTCTTTGAAATGTGAGGTGGTTACAGCCTTTTGGAAAGCAAACTAACAGCATCTATTGTTAAAAATACGTATGTTCTTCCATCTAGCAATACTACTTATGAGAACCTATGTCCTATAAATAAAATTGTCTGTGCAAAACAGGTGTGCATAAGAATGTATATTGCAAACTTGTTCATGATGATAAAAACTGGAGTAGTATGACTGTTAATGAATTAGCTATTAAAATAAAACACAGTGGGGCCATTTTAAATAATTCTTAATAATCATTCCAGATGACTCACAACACTTTCTAGTAGGATTCTAGAGGTATAAAGAAAATATGGCCGGGCGTGGTGGCTCACATCTGTAATCCCAGCACTTTAAGGGGCCAAGACCAGCAGATGGCATGAGCTTAGGAGTTTGACACGATCCTGGGCACATAGTGAGACCAGCCTAGGCAACATAGTGAGACCCCCGTCCCCACAAAAAAATACAAAAATTAGCCAGGTTTGATGGCCTGCCTGTAGTCCCAGCTACTGGGGAGACTGAGGTGGGAGGATCTCTTGAGCTGTGGAAGCGGAGATGGCAGTGAGCGCCTTTGCACTCCAGCCTGGGTGGCAGAACGAGACCCTGTCTATATGCAAGAATTTGTATATATATTACCTCATGTTTACAAAACAAAATTATCTCCCCTTCCTCTCCCCCAAATCCCATATATGTATATTATTAGACTTTGGTATCTAAAGTGCTCCTGGGGCTCTTTACATGTTAATCGTTCAATACTCAAGAGTAACTGTGCTATACGCACCACTATTTTTCTTTTACAGGTAAGTAATATGGGGCATAAAGAATGTAGGTAACGACCCACAGCACAAAGATATCAAGATATACAAGTTAAGCTCAGAAACCAAGCTCTTAAACACTACACTGTCTCTCTGTATTCGCTTATAAATGTGTACGTCTATTTACCGTACAGGGAGAAAAATATGCAAGAATGCATACCGGGGAACTGACGTAGGCTGGGGCAAAGAGAACGTGCTGATATAGATGGCTGGCGGTGCAGAGGAGGAGATAAACCCGGGCAAAAAAAGAAGGAAAGAAAGAAAGATCAGGTTCTCCAGGCTGGGCAGCCATTCCTAGATTAACCAGGTATTGATACGGGAGGAAGAGGCTTTGCTGCAGGAATTCTCGGGTAATAGGAACAGACCACGGAATGGTATCGTACTATGACGGCTGGCAGGAGCAAACCATAGAGATGAACATTTCTAGAGTAGTGCGGCGACACTTCGGGATGTTGGCTGGTCCTTAGCGACGGGAGTTTTCAGGGCTTCAAGAGAGTAGGACCTGGGCTCTATAGGCTGGTCCCTGGGCCGGGTGTAGACCCCATCTTCTCCTTTCCAGTCCGAGCTGCCATTAGCTGGTCTCCTGGAGTGACCCCAAACGAGGAGGACAGAGCTTCGTACCTGACCCTAACCCAGGCTTCCGTACCCCTAGCCGGCCTGTCTTGGTGACTTGGAGTCAGGCCCCTCTTCTCCGAAGTTTCTGAGAAGCAGGACTCCTGAGTGTAAGAGGGTGGCCTTCTTGGAACCTGGTGGGTCCTTGACATATAGAAAACAGGGAAACTTGCCGGGCGCGGTGGTTCACGTCTGTAATTCCAGCACTTTGGGAGGTCGAGGCGGGTGGATCACCTGAGGTCGGGAGTTCGAGACCAGCCTGACAGACATGGAGAAACCCCGTCTCTACTAAAATACGAAATTAGCCGGGCGTGGTGGCACATGCCTGTAATCCCAGCTACTCAGGAGGATAAGGCAGGAGAATCGCTTGAACTCAGTAGGTGGAAGTTGCAGTGAGCCGAGATCGTGCCATTGCACTCCAGCCTGGACAACAAGAGCGAAACTCCATCCAAAAAAAAAAAAGAAAAGAAAAGAAAAGAAAACAGGGAAACTTTCCCCCAATCTTTAGGGTCAAAAGTGTTTTAGAAATCAGATTTCGAACGATTTTTGAAAAGCAATATGATGCATATGTGCTACATATGCATAACACCCCAGAGATCTGGTGAAGCCTGATATTCAGGCCTATTAATATTTCTGTAATAAAACATGAATATTCACGCTAAGACTATAAATAGCTTCATGTCATTTCAAGCCAAGTCTTGTTACAAAATATGTTTATGTTACTTTGGGTATTGCCATCAAATGACTTATGAAAATACTCTCGGTTTTCAGAACTTTGAGGGATTTTGAATTTGTGGAAAAGGGATTGTGGACCTGTTCTGTTTAATATTTTCATTGCCTTATTTCTCTAATCATGCTCGTTTATCATACAGTGTAAAGGAAATGATTCCTTAATTAAGTTTTGTGAGTCTTACAGTTAATACCTTTTATTAGTCATTTTGTTTTTCGACTGATAGTTATTAATGATGTGCTATGTACCAGGCACTATTCTAGGCAGTGGAAGTATTGCAGTGTACAAAATAGATGAAGCCCCTACTCTTATGGCACTTATTGTGAGGGTAACAAACAAAAAGCGAATTTTATTTGCCTTTTAATTGTATGTTTTAATGTTGGGGTGATGAGAGTTACAAAGAAAAATATAGTAAGGTAAGAGGGCAGATAGTGGTGGAAAGCTATTTTTTTTACAGGATGGGCTAGAAATATCTATTTGAGGAAACAGTTTGTGAGCATGCCTTAATGAAATGAGGGAATGTTTCATGCACATGTTTGGGTAACAGTATTCCAAGCAGGTGTGAAGGCCCTCACATGGAATGCATTTCACATGTCTGGAACAGAAAAGAGTTGAAATAGAGTGAGCACAGGAAACATTGATAGGAAAAAGATTACTCTTTTTATTTCTAAAATAGTCATATAAATTTCCATTACTGAGGTGTCAAATCCTCAAATTTCATCACTGTTAGCAAAACCTCAAAAACCTTTTCTGTTTTGCTTTTCTTAATGTGGCATAGGCAGCCTTTATAGTACATGTACTTTAAAAAAAAACTGATGGAAGTTTTTCACCTTTGAATAACATTTTCTTTATTTTTTAAGGTGAGTCTCCCTGGAGTATAAACCTGTCTGCAGTTACTCTTGAGTGAAAATGGTTACAGATTGTATCATACAGGATGGAGAATAGGAAAGACCTGTGATAGTAAAAATGGAGGAAGGTAACTCTTCTGTACGAGAAATGGACTTGCAGTAGAACAGCCAGCCCAGCCAGGAAGTCTTCTGCCAGTGCTTTAGACAGCTCTGCTACCAGGAGACACCTGGACCCAGGGAGGCTCTAAGCCAACTCTGGGAACTTTGCCATAAGTGGCTACGATCAGAGGATCATAACAAGGAGCAGATCTTGGAACTGCTGGTGCTGGAGCATTTCCTGTCCATCCCACCCGAAGAGCTCCAGTGTTGGATACAAGAGCATCATCCATTGAATGGAAATGAAGCTGTGTCTTTGCTGGAAGATTGGAGAGGGAACTTGATGATCCTGGATTTCAGGCGGGAAGAGGAGGTATGTCTTGTGGTAGCAAAATGAGCATTCAATGGTTAGGTCAATAGTGAAGCAGTGAGGGCAACATTACTGAGTTTTCATTCCTATTAGGCTTCACTGGTAGTGTCAGTTCCTTTTTCTATATCATCTCTCCTTCTAATTCCATTAAGTCCCTTTTCCCTATTCTGTTTCCATAGGAATGTTTCCTGAGGTTTCAGATCTAGTTCCCACAGAAGTTTCCTCTCAAGTACAATGGTCCCTAATTGTCTCCAAGGCACATCCCAAGCAGATGGACTGGAAGTGCTCTGGGAGGAGGTGATATCTCTGGGAGCTGCACAGCAGTCACCATGTTATCACCTCCAACACATAGAGACCCTGCTCAAGGATGACCCTTTGGAACCCTATTCTCCACAAGAAAGAGGTAAGGAGGAAGAGGAGGAATCTATCTGGGAGGTGGGTAAGAGCAGGGGCTCTTGTTTGGCCAAACAAAGGCATCCTTTATAGTTCATTCATTAGCATCTCTAACCCTAACTCTCTCCTGAAACCCTCCCTGGCCCATCTGTCTCTGTCTTTATAAAGGAGAGCCTTTATCCTTGGCCTTTTAAGCAAAGATTTTTATTCTATTTGCTTTCACATATGCCTCTTTGATTTTCATTAAAGCATTAAATTATCACATCATTCTGTTACTTTTTATATCGCCTTTCCTTTATGGTAATCTACTAAATGTCTTCTTTGTCTCTACCCTCTATCCCTTTAAGTGTTCTCTGCCTATTAGTGATAAAGTTACCTTTTAAACCTTTCACTTTGGCTACATTTCTGTCTTCTTCCACATTAAATTCTTTTTTCTTATCAATACCTCCCCCTACTTGTCACTCCAGTATAGATTAGGTACCCCTTTTCCTTTCCACATTCCCTGCATGCCAAACGTCCTTTCCATTTAAAAAGCATCCTCCTTCTCACATTCTGACCCTTTTTAAAAAGCATCTGTCTCCAGAAAACAGCAATGAAATGATTAGGAGAGCTGAGAAGTCAGTGCTTTTCTAGTATTTCCTGTGAGTTTAGGTGGAATGTTCATTTAAATGAGTTCAGTACACATTTAATTTATCTTCTTCAGGTCAAATTTTACTAAAATGTATTTTTTATTGTGTTCATAAAGGAATACTGACCTTTATTTATTAGGAATTGTTGGTTTACACTGAATCTGCAAGCAATGCCCTATTTGGGAGAATATTAAGATGAAAGGGTTTTTTCCCCAAGCAATGGTATAAATACACTTTTGCCTTTCTGCTATAGTGGTTGTTGCTGTTGTTGTTGTTGTTTTTGAGACAAGGTTTCAGCCCAGGCTGGCAAAATCTCATCTCACTGCAACCTCCGCCTCCTGGGCTCAAGTAATTCTGCTGCTTCAGCTGCCCAAGTAGCTGGGACTACAAGCATGGGCCTGCTAATTTTTGTATTTTTTGAGATGAGATTTTGCCATGTTGCCCAGGCTGGTCCTGGGCTCAAGCAATCCACCCACCCTGGCATCCCAAAGTGCTGGAATTACAGGCGTGAGCCACACACCTGGCCCTTGAATGCAACTCAAAGTTATTTACACACTTAGACTTTTTCAATATGCTCCGATGATTTGTATCCTGTTTTGGAGGTAAAGATTATTCCCAATCCCACTGTAGTATTATATAGATTATTTATTCTTAGGATATGTCTATTTCACTTTTGCTTTCTAGCACTTTCCTTCCTTAACCCAACTGAAAAAGTATTCACTGATTGTTGGGGGAACATGGTTAAAATGGAAATAAATGATCCATCGGGGGTTTACTCTCTCATCAATTTAAAAAGGTAAAAAGGTGACATTTCCATTCTGTTTAAAAATGTTTATAATGAAAAGTTAAAAAAGAAAGTGTTATTTGAATGATTCATTTCCTATTTTAGACAGTGAAACTAGGCCTGAGACTGGTAATTTGGCTCCAAAGCAGGAAGCATCCAAAGGAATGGAATCACAGAAGACGCTGTTCAGTAGAATCTGCAAAGGCAGGAACATTTTTCAGGATACTCATTTTGGAGACCTTCATGAATGTAAGGACAGGTTTGAAAAGCATCAAGGAAGTTTAAAGGAAGGAAAAGAACACACATGTGATCAGTGTGGGAAGTTTCACGCACAACATCAGTCTTATTGGACATCAGAGAATCTATACATGGGAAAAACCCTCTATGTATAAACAACGTGGGAGAGTCCTCAGTCAAAACAAAACCTCTTTTAAACACCTCAGAATTCACACTGGTGAGAAACCTTATCAGTGTAATCAGTGTGGTAAGTTTTAGTCGAGGCTCAGTCCTTATTAAACATCAGATAAATCACACTAGGGAGGAGGCTTATGAGCGCAGTGAATGTGGTAAAACCTTCAGTAACAGCATGGGATTTACCCAGCATCAGAGATTCCATACCTTAATAAAATATTATCAGTGCAATGAGTGTAGGAAAGCTTTCAGGGAAAGTTCAAACCTCACTAAACATCAGCGAATTCATACAGGAGAAAAATCTTATGAATGTGATGAATATGGAAAAGCCTTTGGTGGAAGTTCTGATCTTACTGGACATCAGAGAATTCACACTGGGTAGAAACCCTTTGAATGTGATGAATATGGGAAGGCCCTCCATCTGAGCTGACATCTCACTGAACACCAGAGTCCACAACAGGAGTGACCTCACTTTCCCCAGTCACCCTGTGTACACTGAAGCTTCCATGCCTTTTTCTTCCATTTCTCCCCCTTTACACCCAGAATGCCCTCTTTGTTGTTTCCCCAATCAGATTTTATTACTTTTTTTTAGGTCTTCTTAGGTTTATTTTACTTTTTATTTTCTAAAATTTTATTTTATTTTGGATTCAGAGGGTACATGTGCAGGTTTATTACATGAATATATTGCAAAATGGTGTTTGGGCTTACCCATTAACCAAATAGTGACCATTGTACCAAATGAATAATTTGTCAACCCTCACTCCTATCCCAACCCGCTCCCCCGTCCCCAGTTTGTAGTCCCCAGTATCTATTGTTTCCATCTTTATGTCCATATGTCCCCATTGTTTAGCTCCCACTTATAAGTGAGAACATGTGGTATTTGATTTTCTGTTTCTGATTTATGTAACTCAGGATAATGGCCTCCAGTTTCATCCATGTTGTTGCACAGAGCATGATTTTGTTCTTTTTTTGTGGCTATGTAGTATTTCATGTTTGTTGGCTGCTTGGATGCCTTCTTTTGAGAAATGTTGGTTTATGTCCTTTGCTCACTTTTTTTTTTCTTTTTTTTCTTTGAGACGGAGTTTTGCTCTTGTTGCCCAGGCTGGAGTGCAATGGCACAATCTCGAGTCACCACAACCTCTGCCTCCCGGGTTCAAGAGGTTCTCCTGCCTCAGCCTCCCGAGTAGCTGGGATTACAGGCATGCGCTACTATGCCCGGCTAATTTTGTATATTGTTTTAGTAGAGACGGGGTTTCTCCATGTTGGTCAGGCTGATCTCGAACTCCTGACCTCAGGTGATCCGCCTGCCTCGGCCTCCCAAAGTGCTGGTATTACAGGCACGAGCCACCGTGTCTGGCCTTTTGCCCACTTTTTAATGGGGTCTTTTTTTTTTCTTTTTGAGTTGTTTGAGTTCCCTGTAGATTCCAGACATTAGTCCTTTGTCAGAGGCATAATGCAAATTTTTCTTCCATTCTGTAGATTGCCTGTTTATTCTGTTGATTGCTTCTTTTTCTGTGCAGAGGCTTTTTAGTTTAATTAAGCCCATTTGTCTATTCTTGTTTTTGTTGCATTTGCTTTTGGGCCAACCAAATTTTACATATGTCTTACCATAGCCCTGTTTAGAATAAACAAACATTCTGAATGCTGAACCTCCTAGAGGTTGTGTAACAGTACCCATAATGTGTCATTAAAAACAGGTTTGGCTGAAATGTTAGTGAACCCCTTGGGCTCCTACCCTGTGTGCTTTCAGTTAACTTGGTGACAATTGGGTTTGCCTCCTGAAAACAAGATATTGCTTCTTGAGGAAGAGAAGAGCAATCCCTTTCTGGAGATATTGGAAAACACTAGTACTCAAGTAGGCATTGGTCACCTTATGCAGAGGGAGCCTGTGATGCTGACCCAGACATACTCCAGGCTGCAATGAGAGTCAGAGGAAGATCCTTTCTAGATAGTATTTTGTACATTGCTGATGCCACTGTACACCAGACATCTAGGTAGGATAGACCCAAGAGGAAGTGCTCCTTATTCAGGCATCTTTATTTTAGCTAGTACAGAAAAAAATAAGATGGGCTGGACCTCAAGAGGAATTCTGAGATCCCAAAACAAAGTGGCATGTGTTGCAAATAAAAAGATAACTAGAAACTTCACTGGATTAGAAGACAGGTAGCAAGGTTCAAAGGCCACAAATGACAAAGGTACAGTATACCCTAGGATGGATGAACTAGAGAAATAGTCTTCTTTACCATGGCTCCCACATGAATGTTATTTTAGGGACTGAGTGACTCTGAGGACATTAGCTATCATTTTTCTTGACTCTGATGTTACTATCAGTTAATAATGGAGCTATCATTTTCATATGATTAGCCGTATACTTACAAGTGAGCAGACCTTGAACTTCCTCTAGGTTTCTAAGCAAGGGCTTAAACCACCAAATGTGACACCCTTGAAGGGTAACTCAAGCTATGGACACTTAAGACCCTGAGATGATGATATAGTATTTTGAACATTATAATTTGCTGAATGTCAGTTGAACCACCAGATGTAATGCAACTTGTGCCTTCTCTCTTATTCTTTTTTTGTGCCTTTTCCTCCCTTATATTCACCTCCCTTTTTTCTTTTATCTGTTGTCCCTTTTTTTCTGATCACCTACACTCTTTCTACCACATAAGCATCATTTCTTTATAACTCCTCACCCTCTCCCCACTAAACTTGTATTTCCCAGATATCAGTTCTTGTAGGTAGGAAGCAGAGACAGTGGGTTCAGTTAGAGGTGATGGGGGTCACATTTTTTAAAAAGGGAAAGAAAACCCTAGGTAGGTAGTCAAAGCATAGACACCCTATATCGGACTTTATGATCAGCTGTTACTAACAGTTTATGTAAATGAGGTCCAAAGGTAGATAGTTTGAAGTTGTTGCTTTTGCTCTATAGAATCATCAGGGATCCAGGTCCCTTCTACCTTGTCACTGTCCTCTGTGTACAGCTTCTCTTCCCATGGCTACTGAAACACTGGCCATCAATTCTGCATTCTAGTCAGCAGGAAGGGCAAAAAAATGGACTCTCCCAGATAAGTCAGCAATTTTCAAGGAGTCTTCTCAGAATGCACAAATTCTTACACCTAGTTAACCAGAATTTAGTCACATTACTACACTTTGCTACAAAGATAACTAAGAAATGTAATCTTTATTTCAGGTGCCAGTGTTTTTTACAAGATAAAAATTGTAATGGTTATTTGATAAAAAGGAGAGAACACTTATTTAGTAGGCAAACAGTCTCTGCCCTAGTCCCAAATAAAGATGTAACATTTCAAGTTATTAAGTGCAGGAACCAACTCCTAATAAACGTGTGATGAAAGATCAGTAAACAGATGAATGAATGAGAGAAGGGGTGCAAGGAACAAAATCAGAACTAAGAGATTCAATGGTGTTTTAGTGAGTATTAGGAAGGCGGTGGGGATAAAGCAAGGAGAGGGAAAAGAGGAAGTGAGGAACAGGAACAGATAAATCTCTGAGTTAGAAGTCCCTAACACATCATGCTTCCTTAAATAATAGCATTAAAAAGTTTTATTTAAAAATGCAGTTTAACTCTATTTTGAAGTGATATCAAAAAAATTTTTATTTTATATATTTATTTTTTGAGACAGAATTTCACTCTGTCACCAAGGCTGGAGTGCAGTGGGGCAATCTCAGCTCACTGCAACCTCTGCCTCCCAGGTTCAAGCGAGTCTTGTGCCTCAGACCCCCAAGTAGCTGGGACTACAGGTGTACGCCAGCATGCCCGGCTAATTTTTTGTGTTTTTAGTAGAGACAGGGTTTCACCGCGTTGGCCAGGCTGGTCTCAAACTCTTAACCTCAAGTGATCTGCCCACCTTGGCCTTCCAAAGTGCTGAGATTACAGGCGTGAGCCACCATGCCTGGCCTCAAAAGATATTTTTAAAGGAAAAATATCTAGGTTTTTTTCTACTACTAGAAAAAACTTATCCCTACTTCCCTAATTTAAGAATTATTTTTATTTCTTCAAATTGTCTATTTAGAGAGATTGATAAATAGATATATGATTTTTGTCAGGTACTTAGAATTTTATGATTGGTTATATTTTTCATTAACCACGCTTATTTTTAAAATTACTCCACGTTTCCACATAACCAAATTTATTACCTTATGGTTTATATGATAGTTTTAGGTCACTTTAGTCTTCATATATACGTGTGTGTGTGTGTGTGTGTGTGTGTGTGTATGTACATACACACAGTCATGTGTTACTTAACAACGGGATACATTCTGAGAAATGCATCATTAAGCCATTTCATCATTGTTTGAACATCATAGAATGTATTTACACAAACCTAGATATAGTGTACTACACACCTAGGCTATATAGTATGGCCCATTTTCCTAGGCCACAAACCCGTACAGCATATTACTGTAGTGAATACTGTAGGCAGTTGTAACAACGGTAATTATCTGTATGTCTAAACATATCTAACAGTAGAAAAGGTATAGTAAAAATATGCCATAAAACTTTTAAAAAAAAAATACACCTGTATAGGACAACTCCATTATAATCTTATGAGGCTACTGTCTTATATGCAGCCTGTTGTTGACCAAAACATTGTTATTCACAGCACATGACCTGTAAAGACAGGGCCACCTCTATCTCTTTTTGGGATACATTTCACAGAAGGTGAAATAGCTGAGTAAAAAGATTTTCATATATGTTTAAGCATTGCTAATAACTGCATTTTTGTCTAATGGACACTGTTAACCTTGCAACCAAAAAAAGGGCACCTTTAAGATCCACATGTGCCAGGCGTGGTGGCTCACGCCTGTAATCCCAACACTTTGGGAGGCCAAGGGGTGGATCACCCGAGGTCAGGAGTTCGAGACCAGCCTGGCTAACATGGCGAAACTCCGTCTCTATTAAAAAGACAAAAATTAGCCAGGTGTGGTGGTGGGCGCCTGTAATCCCAGCTATCAGGAGGCTGAGGCAGGAGAATTGCTTGAACCCAGGAGGTGGAGGTTGCAGTGAGTTGAGATCACGCCATTGCACTCCACCCTGGGCAACAAGAGCAAGACTCCACCTCAGAAAAAAAAAAAAGATCCACATGTAAGGGTACCTGGTTAACTAATTCCTCAAAGCCAAGGGAGCTAGCAGATGAGGAAAACTGGGTACGAGTCCTGGGTCTGCTGACCTCAGCAACACACTTCATTTATCTTTCAACTGTAAAATGAGTGGTTTGCATATTTTTAAAAAACATTAAAATATGCATATATTTAATATGTGCACAGTGAAATGAAATACTGCAAAGTAAAACCATTCATATAACCACTACCAAGGTCAAGAAATAGAACTGTTACCCGTGCCCCAGAAGGCCCCAGTTTATGCTCCCTGCTAAACTCTGTTCCTTTCCTCCTCCCTGTTGTGACTTCTAACATCAGATATTAGTTTATTCTGTTCTGAACCTTATATAAATGCAATCGTGAAGGATGTGTTTTTCGTCTTCTTTTACTCACTATTCTGGCTCCTTTTACTATTATGTTTATGAAATTTATCAATGTGGTTTGTAGCTGTAGTTCATTGATTTTCATTGTTACATAGTATTCAGTTGTCTGAATAAACTTTTTTTTAAAACCATCCTACTGTTAATGGACATTAGAGTTGTTTCCAGTTTAAAGCAGTCACCAAAAAACGCTTCTAAAACATGTCTTTAGATGCAAGCACATATGCGTTTCTGGTGGCTGGGTCATAGAACACGCATACATTCAACTTTAGTAGATACGCCAGAGTTTCCCAAAATGGTTTCACCAATGTACACTCTCATAAAAAATACGTGAAAATTCCCATTGTTCCATAATTCTTGCTGAAATTTGGCACTGTGGATCCATTTCTAGCAGGGATTTCAGCGCTGAGTTTGTGATTCCTTAAGAAATACCCAAGGACCTATCATACTGGCAATAAGTAAAAACCTGAAAACATACAGTTCATGAGGCTGTGTGAAAACAGGCACTCTCACACTTTGCTGTTGACAGTACAAAATAACACAGCTCCTACAAAAGTCTCCCTCTTACTGTTCATTGCAGCATTATTTGTTAAAGCAAAACATTGGAAATAATCCAAATATCCACGCCTAAGAAACTGGTTAAAAAAATTACGGTACATCCACACAATGAGTTACTATTATGCAGGTGTGAAAAAAAGAGAACTACGTCTATAAACAGGACATTTCTAGGCTTTTCTGTTAGATGATAAAGCAAGGCATGAAAGAATGTATATAACATAACTTATGGGGTAAAGAAGGTAAATATTTATTTTTGCAAGAAAAAAGAAAGAAAAAGTAGGGAAGGGAGGAGGGAAGGAAGAAGGAAAGAAGGAGAGAATAAATAAATAATGAAAATGGGATATAAGTACATGGGGTAAAGGGACTGGGGATGGAAGCAGAACTCCTCTAAATATACCTTTTTATATAATGTGGATTTTGAACTAAGTAAATGTCTTGAATTTTCAAAAAAGAATAAAAAAGGGATGAAAGCAAACCCTGAAATGGAATATAAGCAGAAACAAATGATCCTAACCATATATCGTTTAAAATATAACCACAGAGAAAAGAATTAATTCAAATAAGGTATTTATGCAGCTATACTCCCTAAACGGGATATAATTCAAAAACAAAACAAGCAAAGAAAATTTGAACTCTACATAGTAGATATGTTATTGCTAGTGGTGTATTTGTATTATAATCTTGAAACTATTTTGTTTATAAGAAACTATTTTGTTTGAGTGAATGTATTTATGCTGTTGGGAGCCAGAGTTTTCACTGTGAGGGAAAAGAAAAAAAACACATGTGCAATGGTGAAAGATGAAAAGGAATTCTGTGGAGTTGTTTTTGAGATGAAAGTATCTTATAAAATCCTCCATATAGATATATGTTAAAGTAACACATCAGAAATAATCCAAACACCCACCCCTAAGAAACTGGTTAAAAACATGACGGTACATTCACACAATGTACCGTATATACATATATATATATGTAACATATTCATATATTCTAGCTCTTGTCCACTGACAAGGCCTAGAGGCAATAATATATCCTAGTAGCAGTAAGATTATTCATTGCCCAAAATCCAGATCTTGGTATCTATATCCCACTTTTCATTAATAAATACTGTAGCTTCATAAAGCAGTGGCGATTCCGCGTCTAGGGTAGGAATAGCATAAAATGAGACTGAAATACCTTGTGTGAGAAAGTGAAGTGCACAAAAACTGTTGGGAACTTATTAAAGGACATAGAAACCTGTTTGAGGCCGGGTGCAGTAGCTCACTTCTGTAATCCCAGCCCTTTGTGGGGCCGAGGCCGGTGGATCACTTGAGGTCGGAGTTCAAGACCAGCCTCAGTAGGGGATTGTGGCCTGAGCCTGTAATCCCAGATACTCAGGAGGCTGAGACAGGAGGATCACTCGAACCAGGAATGCGGAGGTTGCAGTGAGCTGAGATCTCATCCACTGCACTCCAGCCTGGAGACTCTGTCAAAAAAAAAGAAGAGAGAGAGAGGAGAGAGAGGAGAGAGAGGAGGGAGAGGAGGGAGGGAGGGGGAGAGAGAGAGAGAGAGAGAGAGAAAAAGAAGGAAAGAAAGAGAAGGAAGGAAGCGAGCTGTCTGAAAGGGCTCCAACTGACCAAATTTTAAATAATTTGAGCATCAACATAATAATGACAGTAATTGTTTGTTTATTTATTTATTTATTTAGAGATGGAGTCTCGCTCTGTTGCCTAGGCGGGAGTGCAGTGGTGTGATCTCGGCTCACTGCAAGCTCTGCCTCCCGGGTTCACGCCATTCTCCTGCCTCAGGCTCCCGAGTAGCTGGGACCACAGGTGCCCGCCACCACGCCCGGCTAATTTTTTCTATTTTTTAGTAGAGACGAGGTTTCACCCTGTTAGCCAGGATGGTCTCGATCTCCTGACCTCGTGATCCGCCCGCCTCGGCCTCCCAAAGTTCTGGGATTACAGGCGTGAGCCACGGCGCCCGGAGTAATTGTTTATTTGTAAAGGAATCCATGAGTTCATCGTGATAAAATGAGACAGCAGGTAAAACAAAAGGTATTCTTTGTAGGAAATGGCAACTAATCAATGTAGAAATGTGCTTCAGTTTCCTCACCTGTTAAATGGAGATAATTGTACCTAACTCCAGGGTTGTTATGCGGAGTAAATGAATTAATACGTGTTAAAACACTATGTTGGCCGTTATTATATTGCCCCCTGGAAGACAATGTGCCACCTAGCATCTCACTAAGACTACAGACGGGATTCAGCGTGACGACCACAGAGGTGTGGAAACCTCCGGCCTTCCTAGAAGGAACACAGCCAGAACCACAGTTCTGCGGGGAGCCGGCCGCGGTGACGCATTTCCGGCCTTTGTGGTTTATCATTCTTTGGACGGCGGTTGTCAAGGATTCAGAGCCGGTATGATCTGCGCTAGGTGGCATCTCCTTTCACGGATGCCTCGGTGAGCTTCGGAGTCGGGCTACCGCTGAGGGGCTTCGGAAGGGCCGGTCTGTGCGCTGCGACCTGGACTGGGTGTGGGGATCTGGCGGCAGGGGCTTCTTGGCCAGAGATGGGCCGGGCAGATGGGGGCAGAGGAGGTTGCTCCGCAGCCTGGAAGGGCCTTATTAACCAAAAGTCAGCGTCGTTGCGCCTACCCCTTTCCCCCACCCCATGTCTATTCCTGAACTCTTCAACCTGTCTGCCCTGTACTGATGGCACTCTGAACTCTCCCTATCTGCATCTTAGGATCCGAATAGATTCGGATATGAAGAAATGTTTGTATTTTTCGATGTCTTATTCTCTACTGTGGACTTATTTTAAAGAATAAGCAGGGATAGTTTTAAAATATGCCACAGCCTTTCTTAGTCTAATTCACATAATATAAAGGCTCTTGCTGCTATCTAATTTTTTAGAAGAATAAATAGCATCTACTATGTACCAGCCCAGCACTGTTCTAAGCACTTTCCAAATATCTGCTTCTCATAACTCTAACAGATAGGCACTGTTATTATGTAGACTACACCCCACCTCCCTGTCCCGCCCTTTTTTAAAATTAACATACAAGAAGAAAATGAAGTAATTTGCCTAAGGTCATAGAGCTAGTAAGGGGTGGAGGCCGGATTCAAATACAGGCAATTTGGCTCCAGAGTCCATTTTCTTAAAACCTTTGCTATGCTAACTCCACTCTGTTCCTGTATTAGCTTTACAGCTATAACCCGGGAAGTTACTTCGCTCATTTGAATCCTGTCCTTCTTTTGTACCTCAATAGTCCTGGGCTTCTAGTTAGGATTTGATTGGAAAGAATGTATCTGAAGACGTCCATCTTTCACAGTGTTTCTGCAAACCTGATGAAACAGCCATTTTATTGGTTTGTGTGCATGTTTTCGCCCACCCATCTTGTTCTTTGAGCAATAGAAAAAGATTACAGTCTTGGCCCTAAGGGAAAGTAGCAACTATTAATTAAACCACCATTGTATCAAAATTGTACACTATGTCATTAAAAGATTAATTTGCATGTTTATATGCCAGGCTTTGTGCAAAAACACTTTCCATGCATTATCTCATTTAATATTCTCAACAAGTTGGCAAGGTAGTTTTTGACCTTATTTCATATATGAGCTTGAGGCTTAGAAAAATCAGGTAACTTGCCCAAGATCACTGTGTTAAAATTCACAGATGGTAATCCTAGCACTTTGGGAGGCCAAGGTGGGCGGATTACCTGAGGTCAGGAGTTGGAGACTAGCTTGACCAATATGGTGAAACTCCATCCTACTAAAAATGAAACAATAAGCCAGGAGTGGTGGTAGGTGCCTGTAATCCCAGCTAGTCCGGAGGTTGAGGCAGGAGAATTGCTTGAACCTGGGAGGCAGAGGTTGCAAGTGAGCCGAGATCGCACCACTGCACTTCTGCCTGGGCAAAAAGAGCAAGACTCTGTCTCAAAAAATAAAAAATAAAAAAGAATAAACAACCAGATCTGCCTGTGTTCTCTACTACCTCATACTACCTTCTGCTTATCTAAGGTAAATAAAATATATGGGCTTATATCAACTCTGTGTGCACATGTGTACATGTGTATATACGATTGCAAATGCATAGAAAAGGACACATTCCAGTCTTTAAGACTGTTTATTTCAGGGTAGTAGAACTTGGTGAAAGAATTCTATATTCCTCTCTACTTTTTGGATTTTAAAAAATGGTTCTGAAGAGAAGTAATAGTACAAGGTAAATTGTGACTGAGGGTGAAAGGTGGGACTCATACAGTACATGACATGTGAGCGGGCAGGAGGAACAGGGTGAGCTGAAATGGATAAAGAAGACTTCAGAGAGGATGTGAGATTTGAATCAAGCTGCAGAGATTGGGTAGGGTTTGAATAAGGGAAGAAGGCAAGACCAAGCTCATGGCACAGGGATGAGAAACGCCTGATTAGAATAGTGAAGAGAAAAACCTGACTGGAGGTGAGAGTTTTTGCTTGTGGAATAGAGGAAACCAAGAGTGGAGCCAGACAACAGAAGCTAAAGGTCTGACTGGTTTTAAACTGTGCTTGAGAGTTTGGGAATTCATCCAATTAGTGAGGAGCCATAGATGGTGTCAGCGGAGGTGAGGGTCGTGGGATGTATGATGATAAAGGCACGTTTGTATTATGTGCTGCTTAGTCTTCACCTACGTGCCTATCCTTGTTAAAGATAATCCTTCCATGAGGATGATGGTAGATTTGGGGGTGTTGAGCTTGCTGAGGCTCTAGGAGGAACAACTTTAAAATGCAGATGCATTTTTTAAGGTAAGATTTATTATACTAATTATATACGTGGCATATACATTGAGGTTGTGATCCTGAATGGAAGATTAGGAACTCTATGTTTGTGACCAGGAGGGCAGGATTACAAAAAACTGGGGAAGCCTTTTGGAGACACTGGGTTCAAAGAACTCAGGTATGCTGGTGCAAGGATCTGGGTATTAAGGCCAGCAGATAAAAGCAAAATCAGGTGAATGAAAGCAAAAATGAACCCAGAGTATACAGAGAAAATAGGGAAATTTATATTTGGGAAACTGTGTAAAGATTTGAAACACCACATCCCAGAAATGAATTTTTCTGGGCAGAGTTCTAAGATTCAGCTGCATTGTCTTTGAATAGAAAAACTTTGACTTGAAACCAAGTGGCACAGGTGGTAAATAAGAAAAAGACATTTTTCGGACCCTAGAAGATTGAAAAAAACAAGAAAGTGTGAGTGGCTGTTTCATCCTTTGAATCCATGGTATGTTTATTCAGTAATGTGAGTACATATTCTGAATTTAGCTATTTGATATTTGTACCACAAAACTTTCTTACCCTAGAACAAATTCAGCAGACCGTGTTTCAGGCCATGATGATCTCTTCCCTGGATGATTGTCATAGCATCCCTCTCTGCCTCCACTTAACCCCAAGGTCATTGACACAGCAGCTAGAGTTATGCTTTTGTATTAAATGTAAGTAAAATTTTGTTACCGCTTGGCTCAAAAATCCCCAATGGTTTCCAAATTTCATTGAGTACAAGCTAGAGCCCTTACCACTGCCTTTCATGATCAGTTCCCAAGCTCCCTGCTTTATCTCCTGTCAATTTCCCTTTTGTTTTCTTTGTTCCAGTCATTGTTCAACTAGCTATTACCTGAAGAATCCAGGTGTGTTCCCATCTGCACAAATTTGCACTTGCAGTTCCCTTTGCATGGAACAGTCTTTCTCCAGATAGCCATGTGACTTGCTCCTCACTTCCTTCAGGTTTGTTCAACCATTGCCTTATCAAGGCCTTTCCTGACTATAAAGTAGCAACCTTTCTTTCCCCTTACTTTCTATCTCCTTACCTTTATTTTCTCTACAGCATTTATCACTACTTCACAAATACTTAATAATTATCTGTTTCCTGTGACCCCTTTTCCTCATCCTGGCCCCTCTTTTCCCCAACAGAAGTTAGTGTTGTAGCACTGGAGACTGTAAATTCTGAAGTCAGATTTGTTGGGTTTGAATTGCAGCTTCACTGCTTACTATCTATAACTGACTTGAACTTTGGACTAGTAACTTAAACTTTTCATATCTCAGTTTTCTCATCTGTGATATGGGGGCAATAATAGCACCTTATTCATGGTTGTTTTGAGGATTAAATGGGTTAATATATATAAAGCATCTGTAACACTACCTGGCACGTTGAAAGCACTATAAATGTCTGCTATTATTGTTATTAGGATGTAAATTCCATGAGACTAGGGACTTTGTTATAATTGCAGCTGTATCCCGAGTGCCTAGAACAGTACATGGAATATGGTAGGCTCTGAATATATATTTGCTGGTAGGCTCTGAATAAATATCTGCTAAGTGAATGAGTGGTATATGAAAAGTTATGACAGAAAAAGATAATATGGTAGTCACAGTGGTGGTGAGTCAGCACCAAGAAAAGTGGAGGAAGGCTGGGCGCAGTGACTCACACCTGTAATCCCAGCATTTTGGGAGGCTGAGGCAGGAAGATCACGAGGTCAGGAGTCTGAGACCAGCCTGGCCAACACGGTGAAACCCCGTCTCTACTAAAAAAATACAAAAATTAACTAGGCGTGGTAGTGGGTGCCTGTAATCGCAGCTACTCGGGAGGCTGAGGCAGGAGAATCATTTGAACCTGGGAGGCAGTGAGCTGAGATCATGCTGTTGCACTCCAGCCTGGGCGACAGGGTGAAATTTCGTCTCAGAAAAAAAAAAAAAGTGGAGGAAAACATGAATTTGAGGATTCTGTCTTTAGAGGAAAAAAAATCCTCTGTACACTTCCTGGGGTAGTGATTACAGAAGGTAACCAAACCAAAGATGCCAGAACTTTATAGAGGGGATTATGTGTGCAGGTTATCCAGAAGGATGCTGTCCCATGCCAGTAGTTTTTTTCCCCTTTGATAAATATAACCAGTAATCACAATGTGAATCTAATTTTTCTTCTGGTTGCAATGTGATCAGTGTTCACTTGTAATTTAAATACCTCATATGGTTTGGCTGTGTCCCCACCCAAATCTCATCTTGAATTATAGTTCCCAATTTCTCATAATCCCCATGTGTCATGGGAGGGACCTGGTGGGAGATGATTTAATTATGGGGGCAGGTACCTTCATGTTCTGTTCTGGTGATAGTGAGTTCTCATGAGATCTGATGGTTTTATAAGGGGCTTTTCCCCCTTTTGCTTGGCACTTTTCCTGCTGCTGAATGCAAAGAAGGACATGTTTGCTTCCCCTTCCACCATGATTGTAAGTTTCCTGAGGCCTCCCCAGCCATGCTAAACTGTGGGTCAATTAAACCTCTTTCTTTTATAAATTACCCAGTCTTGGGTATGTCTTTAGTAGCAGCATAAGAACAGACTAATAAAATACCCTATTCTTAGTTATTTAATTTCACAATGCATGTCAACACCTAAGAATAATGTAGGGTTGCCAGGCGCGGTGGCTCATGCATGTAATCCCAGCACTTTGGGAGGCCAAGGCGGGTGGATCATCTGAGGTCAGGAGTTCGAGACCAGCCTGGCCAATATGGTACAACCCTGTCTCTACTAAAAATACAAAAATTAGCCTGGCATGGTAGCGGGCATCTGTAATCCTAGCTACTCAGGAGGCTGAGGCAGGAGAATTGCTTGAACCTAGGAGGCGGAGGTTGCAGTGAGCTGAGATTGTGCCACTGTACTCCAGCCTGGGCAAAAGAGCAAGACTCTTCCTTAAAAAAACAAAAACAAAAAACAACAAACAGAATAGTGTAGGGTTATTTTTGCAATGGATTACAATAATTTTACTTAAAATTAAAACAAATATTTTATTCTACAGGTTATTATTCATTTGTGGGTCATAAAATCTATGTGGTGTGTCACAACCCACCACATAGATTTTATAACCCACGAAATATGTTCTCAGGCTTTTTTGTTTTGTCTTTTAATGAAATAGGTTTAAAAATAATTGTATGTCACTATATAAAGCAAGGATACATAGTGTTTTGTGAAATTATTATTTTAGTTATTTGTGTATCTCATAAATGCACAAACATACACTTATATACATGTGCATGTGTGTTCTGGGTTATAATATAAAATATATCTTAATAAGAGTCCTGGTCAAAAAAGTTTGAAAGTCTGTGCTTGAAAATGGTGCTTAGAAATCACTGGGTCATCTAATTGTTTTTCTTTCAGAAAATTGTCTTCATTAATTGCTATCCTGGTTAAGATTGCTCATAAGTTTGTTTGCTTTTGTTTTTGTTTTTTTGAGACGGAGTCTCACTCCGTCGCCCAGGCTAGAGTGCAGTGGTATGATCTTGGCCCACTGGAACCTCTGCCTCCCGGGTTCAAGCGATTCTCCAGCCTCAGCCTCCTGAGTAGCTGGGATTACAGGTGTGCCACCACGCCCAGCTAATTTGTGTATTTTTTAGTAGAGACGAGGTTTTGTCATGTTGGTCAGGCTGTTCTCGAACTCCTGACCTCAGGAGTCATAGACATTTGTCTTTTTATTAGCAGTAATTTTATTTTACATAAAATTGCCCCCTCCCCACCTTCAAGTAGCTTCAAAGAGAAAAAGTTTCCAAGAAATTAAAGGGCGAGAAAAAGGTCAAATTCTACTCCTGTTTTAAAGTACTGGAACCAATATTTCCATCATTTTAATATCTCTGAGCCTAGATCACTGCAGTCAACTACTTTCTGATTCTTTTGCCTTAGCCTTAAACCACTAGGGATATTCATTTAATCTTACAATAACATAAGAAAAATAACAACAGTGTTACCACTTTGGAGTTTACTAAGTAGCCAACTTCTTTGTGTTCATTATCCTCGTTTTGTCTTTGTATCAACCTAGAAAGATAGGCAGTGTTGGTTTTAGAATTCCTGTTTTATAGATTGAAGAGACCAAGGCTCAAAACATGAAGCCCAAGACTCTGGAGGGAATACCTGCAGGATGATGTCTCAGTCCAAGACCTTCCACATTTTAAAGCTAGATCTCCCTCCTCCATACCTCCTATGGCTGGAGGGACTCTGCCTCGTCTCTCTAAGTGCATTTCTTAGAATTCTTACTTGTTTTATCATCTTTACTTTCCCTCCATCCTCCATTTATTTCCCTTTTCTTCTTGATTCTTGGTGTCATCTGTGACCACTTGGGCCCAAAGTGCTTTTTTACCTTCATATAGCTAAAATTTACCCCGAATTTAATATCTTGTTATTCAAATGGAAACCCAATATGCTCAAGCTGATTTGAGCTGTTCCAGTCAGGATGATTGAAACAGTACCTTCCTTCAGAAAATTGTAGGAGTTTTTGTTCCGTTTCTGTTTTTCTTCCTGTATTATCTGGATTCGTATTTCTAAAGTATCTATCATTAATCATGTTTCGGTGTTCCTTCATGACACAGAGTGACTGATTTTAGTGTAAATACTCCAGTCCTTCCTTGTCCTGAGGTTTTCTGCATTTTTATATTTTTTTCTTTGCAAATAATTGTCTAGATCTCGGGGTTTCCAGAAGAAAAGATCAAGGGAGAATTATCAAGAATAGATTCTTTTTCTGAATAGTTAAACCTTTGATGGCCATAACCTTGACCCTTCAGACTGCAGAGATGCAGGAACGACTTCTGGCAGTGAAGGTAAAGGAGGAAGAGGAGGAACATTCCTGTGGGCCAGAATCAGGCCTGTCAAGAAATAACCCTCATACCAGAGAGATCTTTCGTAGACGCTTCAGACAGTTCTGCTATCAGGAGACCCCTGGGCCCCGGGAGGCTCTTCGAAGACTCCAGGAGCTCTGCCATCAGTGGCTGAGACCAGAGATGCACACCAAGGAGCAGATCCTAGAGCTGCTGGTGCTGGAGCAGTTCCTGAGTATCCTGCCCGAGGAGCTCCAGGCCTGGGTCAGACAGCACCGTCCTGTGAGTGGAGAGGAGGCAGTGACTGTGCTGGAGGATTTGGAGAGAGAGCTGGATGAACCAGGAGAGCAGGTGAGAAGATGGCAGAACAGGGTTTGTACCTGTAAGAACAAGTATGAGGTTTCAGTGCAACAAGAAAAGGTAGAGGAGGAGGATTTTTTTTTTTATGCCAGACTTGATCTTCTGTGGGCTTTTAATCTGTCTGCCTCGTTTTTTTCTTTGCCAGCTTCTTGGTCCTTCTTTTCTATCCAGAGGCCCTGAGAAGGCCTTCTTGCCATGTTCTCTCTGATATTTGGTTCCCAACTGTCCTTGATTTCCACCAGGTCCTGAGCCATGCTCATGAACAGGAAGAGTTTGTAAAGGAGAAGGCAACTCCAGGAGCAGCTCAGGAGTCATCAAATGACCAATTCCAAACCTTGGAAGAGCAACTTCGGTATAATTTGCGAGAGGTGTGCCCAGTTCAGGAGATTGGTGAGGATTAGAATTTCCTCAGGGAGCCTACCTCATTCCCTGAATATTTATGAATTCAACACATTTATTTAGTGTCTGCTATATGCCAGACACTGTGTCAGGTACCAGGGATACGGTGATAAACAAGGTAGATGTGATCCCCGCTCTCATGAAGTTTACAGTCTAGTGGGAGAGGCAGACAATAAGTAAGCAGTTATAATACAGTGCATCTTTTCCCTGAGGTCTGGGTATAATAGATTTAGAGTGGAAAAAAAAACAGAAAAAGTGGCTACTTGTCCCCTTCCACCCATTTGCCTGGCCACTTTTTTTCTTTTGTCTTTGGAAAGGTAATCTGTTATCTTTCATACTTCATGTTATCTTTCATGTTATTATTATTTTAGATGGCAAGGCTGGGACTTGGAATGTGGAGTTAGCCCCAAAGAGGGAGATTTCTCAGGAAGTGAAATCTCTTGTACAAGTTCCTGGAAAACTGAATGGTAATATTACTCAGATGCCTGAGTATGAAGCTATCTGTGACCACGAGGGCAGATTGGAAAAGCAAAGGGTGAGCTCTTCAGTGGAGAGACCCTATATCTGTAATGAATGTGGAAAAAGCTTCACCCAGAATTCCATCCTTATTGAGCACCAGAGAACACACACAGGTGAGAAGCCTTATGAATGTGACGAGTGTGGGCGGGCCTTCAGCCAGCGGTCAGGCCTATTCCAGCACCAGAGACTCCACACTGGGGAGAAGCGCTACCAGTGCAGTGTTTGTGGCAAAGCCTTCAGCCAGAATGCCGGGCTTTTCCATCACCTCAGAATTCACACTGGGGAGAAACCTTACCAGTGCAATCAGTGCAATAAGAGTTTTAGTCGACGTTCAGTCCTCATTAAGCATCAGAGAATTCACACTGGAGAGAGACCTTATGAATGTGAAGAATGTGGCAAGAACTTCATTTACCATTGCAACCTAATCCAGCATCGGAAAGTCCACCCTGTGGCTGAATCAAGCTAGCTCCTTGGAACAGGTAGGGAAAAGTATTTCTCACTTTGTCCCTGCTATGTCCTCTAGCATAGAGAGTTCAAGGGAAAGCCAGTAAAAATTCCCTTATTTTATACAGAGAAGCATAATATCTTAAATACATCTGCCAAGTTCTCTGATCAGTGACATCTACAGCTTTACGATACTGAATGTTGCCTCTTGTGTTAATTTCATCATGTATGCTGTAGACCTAGTTTCACACACATCTGTGCAAGAAGTTTTCTAAGTATATTTCAGGAAAACTTCTTCATCCTAGTTTTTAAAAACTTTAAAAAAAAAGTTTAAAATAATTCTATGTAGGCTGAGTACAAAATAATCTCAAAGGGAATTCACTGAGTATTTAAAAATTAATTTAAAAATAATTGCAATAAAATTCATAATATAGGTTTCCTGACTTCATTCACATAAAATATGATAATTTGCTTTTTAACCTACAAAAAGGAGCAGATGAATCCTCCTATATAAATGTAGATTTATAGTAAGTTGGATTTCTGTAGATTTTTTAGTAAGTTAACCTTTAGGAACCAAGGAATTGAAGCAGCCATGTGTTATTCGCAGCTCAGTGGCTCTTCGTAACAAATATTGCTCATGATTTTAAATTTATGCAGAGGCTAAGAAACTTAGCTAAAAATCTGATATCTCGCTTCAGATTTTTTATTGGAAAATATAGGCCTATGTATTTTTCCCGTAACATATAATGAGCATTTTTTGTTTTTGCCTTTTTCTCCTTTATTCAATATTTTGTATGGAAAATTTGAAACATATTCAAGATTGAAGAGAAGAAGTATGATCACTCTTTCATGTTGATTGTTTTTATAACCTCCACATTTCTCAGCATTTACTATTGATTACCACCAAGGTCATACATAAAAAAATTTCTTTCCCTTAACATTGACTTAGTAACTCTTTACAAAGCTTTATACAAGGTCCAGGAGACAAAGAAATGGAAAACCTATGGTGAAAACAATCTGGTTTGGAATACACCCAAATACCCAATACATAGTAAGTAACTTAAGAATAACAGAATCACTCTAAGGGACCTTCGAGATCATTTCTGTTTGCTCTTATTTGACAGATAAGAGAAAAGGAAGTTCTGGGAAGTAACTAAGATCATAGAGCCACTTAAAAGCAGAGCTGTAACTAGAACCCTGTCTCCTAGGTTCTTTCTAGTGTTAACACGTTTCCTAATTAAGGCCACTCGGGTGTTTTATATAATATACATATATAGTATGTATTCAAATTTATTTTTTTTTTTTTTTTTTTTGAGAACGGAGTCTTGCTCTGTCGCCACAGAGCTTGGGGCGCCAGTGACCATGGATCTCGTGCTCACTGCAAGCTCCGCCTTCCCGGGTTCCCGCCATTCTCCGGCTCAGCCTCAGCCTGAGTAGTGGACTACAGGCGCCGCCTACCAGCTCTTGGCCGGCTTTTTTTTTTTTTGTATTTTTATAGAGGACGGGGTTTCCACCGTGTCAGCCAGGATGGTCTCGATCTCCTGACCTCGTGATCCACCCGTCTCGGCCTCCCAAAGTGCTGGGATTACAGGCTTGAGCCACCGCGCCCGGCCGTTTATATATTTTTTATATCACCAAATAAAAATTACAAGTATATGGAATTTATAGGATTTATAAGTCATTGAAGTTGCTCAACAAACCCGCCCATTTATATGTTTCAATAAATGCACAACTCCTCTATTTAATTTACACTGGAATCCAGGAAAGACTCTTCTCACTTATTCCTCATTGGAAGCATTTTATTTATGTTTGTAATTATTATTTTTAACTTTTAAAATTTAATTTACTTAGTAGGACTTTTTAAAAAGATTCATTCTTCAACTGGTTCAAAAATGAAAATAATACAAAAGGTCTACTTTCCTAAGTAGCCATAGTACTAGTTTCTTATGTATCTTTCAGTGTTTCTTTATGTAAATATAGGCAAATACTAATGTATAATCTTATTTCTTCCATTATTCAGGAAGACGGCATGTTATTTATACTCTTCTAATACCTTGCTGTTTTCATGAAAGAATATAATCTTTAGAGATGTCCACATCATAACATAGAACTTCTTCATTCTTTTTATAAGTGAATAGAATTTTATTTGTTCATACTCCATAGTTTATTTAACAAACTCCTATAGATGAAAAAACTCACTATTTTAAAATGTTACATATTCTGTTTCATTCTTCTCCCCAGTTTAGTCCAAGTTAAGTTCCTTCTGTTCAAAAGCTAACAGTTTTCATATGAGCTAGGAAACAAGGCATGGGCAACCAGAATTGCACATATTTCTTCTACAGATAAATGGAGAAGTGATGGGTGGTATTTTTCAGTTTAGTGTATTTGGTTCTATCACATATTCTTCCACCTGACATTTCAAACTGCTTGTGTCACTCCTTAAGGCTAATTGTGGGTATTATAAAAAATCTTATACTTCCTCAAGAGTATTTTTTATTGTGTCTTGAGGTTAAATTATTTCCAAGAGAAATAGCTACAGATTATTTTTTATTATTATTATTATTATTTTTTTTTTTTTGAGGCAGAGTCTCGCTCTGTCGCCCAGACTGGAGTGCGGTGGCACGATCTAGGCTCACTGCAAGCTCTGCCTCCCGGGTTCACGCCATTCTCCTGCCTCAGCCTCCTGAGTAGCTGGGACTACAGGTGCCCGCCACCACGCCCAGCTAATTTTTCGTATTTTTAGTAGAGACGGGGTTTCACCGTGTTAGCCAGGATGGTCTCGATCTCCTGACCTCGTGATCCGCCCGCCTGGGCCTCCCAAAGTGCTGGGATTACAGGCGTGAGCCACTGCGCCCGACCAGCTACAGATTATTAAGTGAAGTTAAGAAAAATATAGTAGACCCAAATTTGAAGTAAAATCAGCTTCTCAAGTAAATATGTATTCCATAAAGTGATGTAATAGAGATTCTATACTATTCTGAGTTTATAAATATCTTAAATGCCTCTCCATTTAAGATAATGAGAAAAGTGAAGTCCAGAGTGCTTAAGCACTTGTAGTAATCTTTCCATCTTTTATTGCCTTAAAAATTTTGTAAAGGAAACCAATTATGAACAGAGATCATTGTGAATTACATGTGGTTTCACAGACACTTACACTTGGAGCCCTGAGACCCATTGTAGGCATCTGAAAACAAGAGCAACAACAAAGTGGGTTGGAAAGAAAAAAGAACAAAATATGAGAACATAAAAAAGAATCAGACAGAACGTAAAATTAGATGCTAAAACTCTAGATTGGGCGAAAAATGGTGACCAAAGGAAAAATAAAAAGCTAGATGCAGAGACAGAGTGTTGCCAAGAAACATGCTTCATCTATATAATAATTATTAGAAATCTCTCATTTATCAACTGGTTCAAGTTTTTAGATATTGTTGTCTTAAGCAGTGAAAATAATCTCACTGCCTTTTACTCCTCACACTTTTTATTACTTTCCATAAAATGGAGGATAGGGAGAAAAGCATAGTCTAGAAACCACTGTGATTTTTAGATCTCTTTGAACCTATCCCCAATTTTCTATGTCAGCTGCCATTGGGCAGTGTTGAAAGCATTATTTCTTGATGATACCTGCACTAGCATCACCTGGGTTGTTTGTTTGAACTGCAGTTTTCTGAGCCCCACCCCTGAATCAGTTTCTGAGGCAGAACCTGAGAATCTGTATCTAATTAGCATATTAGTGGTCCACACACATAAGGTAACTATGTAATTTATTGTCCAATCTGGGACACTTGAAAATGAAAAGGAGTGCTGTTAATAATTATGCCAAGACAACAAGTATAAATCAGGAGGTATGGTCCCCATACTAATAACGTTTGCAATAGGCAATATTTTTTTCAACCAAGGAGATAGAAGAGACAGAGAATCAGAAAGATTACAATGTTCTGTCATGAAAGCTAAGGCAGAATATATACGAAAAGGCTGTTGGAGACTTAGGTGTAGCCACCTAGCCTAAGGTAACCCCCAGTAATCTATTGGATTAGGAAAGAAAGGATGGGATAATATGTCTGCACAAACAAAACAGAGGGCCCTCCACCCCACCCCCAATTAAGACAACCCCATTGTTAACATAGCTAGTTACCTAAGATGAAACTATTAGAGTGAATGGTTTACCAGACAAGATGGACGACGTCCTGGAAGCACAGGAGTGTTTCAGTGGTATAGGGACCGATAGAGTACAGTGTTCAACCTTATACTGTAGAAGAAAGTGAGAAGATAGAGTACTGGATCAGAAGCTTGCACTGTTAAGGCAAACAGTGAGCCATTTTAAGCAGGTAGTTGGGTGAAGGGGAAGGGGGCAGATACTGTACCAAGTAGTTTCATAATTTATCACATTCACTCCACATCATTTGTTGGCTGTGGAGAGGAGTCCTCTTGCCACTTGATGGTACCAAAGACAGCTGACCTGCCTTAAGTGTGTTAATAGATCTTCATAGCTATTCAGCAATTGCCTCAAGATCATTGACTGCAGGGGTGGAGATGGCGGTGGCCTCCCCTCATCACCCCTGACTTCTGCTAATTCATTGTAGAGGGGTATATAGTCAGGGATCTATAAGCCCCAAACTTGCTAGTGGTTAAGTTACTCGTGGGGACCTGATTTATTTAAACTGGTTTAAAACAATGGAGAGCAAACCAACATCTTCCCCTCTTGTTGCCACTTTCCTCAGGTGGGTGTTGATTATTGCATTTGACCCTTGGGGGCAGAGTGAAGGTAACTGGACAATTTGTGTGGTACTGATAATACCAGAACCAGAGTTGGTTGGTTGATTTTTTTTGTTTGGAAAGCCCTTTATCTTCTGAGAGACATGACCAGTGCTGTGGGAGGAGCTCTGAGTGTGCCCGTGCCTAGACACCCCCATCAGCCATCCCAGGAGCTTGGTTGGGCTCTAAGGTGCTCGTTGGGGCCGATTGAGGAATCTCCCTGAGGATAGAGGAAAGACCCTGATGCCTGAGACCCGGAGGACCAGGGACTTAGGGAAGGGAGGACAGGGCAGGATCCAGTGTGAGCAGTCAGGTGTCTTCAGCAGGGGAGAGAGAGAAGTCAGCCCAGACTGAGTGGCTGCTGGACACAAGATGTTACGACCCCTGTCCCCCTGAGCCTTTTTGAGGCGGCTTCTGCGCTCACAAAGGTGAGCCAGGTGGTGTGCACAAATGAACCACTGAGATTGATGGGTCCTCCAAGATTCCTAGAGAGGCGGGCAGAGGAGCCGGCCGAAGTGCGTTGAAACATGGACGTTCTTCCGGTATCCTGTGCGTTGCGAACAAAGTATTTCCTTTCCCCTAGAGAAGTGTTCAGTTTTCAGTATCTCGGGACTGTGTGTGTAGGCAGTGTGCTAGTCCTTTCTACTTATGCAAGATGCTTATGCAAGATGCACTATACTTTCTCAGCGATCCAGAGATCATGGTACTTGGAGGGGGTGCTGTTGCCCTCTTTTCCAGGGCTTGCTCTTTTACGTAGATCCCTCAGGATCAGGATTTTGTGTTTTGTAGTCAGCTCCACCAGACATTTCAGAGATGCAGAAAACTGAACAAAGCGCTGTACAGAGCTGGGTCTGTATGGATCATCCCCTTCTCAGATGGGGGCACAGACTTACCAGCAAGGAGGCCTCACCAGAATCCATCAGCTGAAAGGTCCTTACGGCCAAGAGCTGGCTTCCGTATACGTTTTCTGAATCCTACGGCCGTTTTAACCTGAACAGTTTTTTCAGTTTTCATAAAAATCCCCTATACTAATGATTACGATATTGTATATCTGTAAAGGCTTAATACTTAAAGAAAAATACTTTACATGATCCCCACAATTCTGCAAAACAAAGGGAAGTGGTACGTGAATTTCTCTGGGTAAGAAAACATTCAGAGGTTAACACATTCAAGCGAGCATTTATTGAGTGCCACATAATGGCCTAGGCTTTATGTTGCAAAAATGGGAATAAGCCAGATAAAAGGCATTTCTTACTGTATAGTGTAATGGGAAAGACATGTTGTCTTGAGG